ATTTTCATAGGAGAGCTTAGTGACGCGTATTTGCCATCAGGCTACTTTGCTATAAAACTTACTACGCCGGGCCGTATTGTACGATAATCGCCGGCTAGGTTTAATTAAATGCCAACTATGCTAATTTGTATCTAGCTCCGGCTCAGTTTAGTTTAATATTAGATTACTTTCTTATTTTACTTATCTTGATTTGAAGCCCGAGTGGAGTCTTCCCTGTGCGCCCAAATCTTTTCTTTACTTGAGTGACTGAAAGGGTATTTTAACCCTTCTCTAGACTAGGTACTAAATAGACTAGGACTAAAATACTCTAAAAAGGGTATTTTAACCCTTCTCTACACTCTAGACTAGTCGTTATTATACGTGAACCGAGCGATAAGTCGCTACACAGTTCACTGGGTTCCTCTATGTTCCGCATAGTCCAGGTAGTGAGGAACATTATAATGTTTTTAAATTTAAATGTTTTCGGAATTCCTTCGAAAATTCATTTTGCATTTTGCTCGATATGTGATTAATTCTTTTCGGCTTGCTTTTAAGAGGAAATGTGATGAAAGCTATATTGTTTGGAATCCGAATCCAGGAAAGTTCTCAAATTTAATATATAATAATCAACTTTTCTCGAAAGTTTTAATTAAAACAAAGTTTAAAACCTGTTTTTAATAAAAAAAGCAAATATGAATGCATTAGTATAATTTACGTTAAGGAGATTATAAATACAATTTAATAAACAAAGTATGAAATTAAGACTATTCATATTTACGGTTCCTTTCTTTAACTCGATTTTCTAATTTTCCATTTACTTTTTAAATAAAGGCAAGGACGAACATTAAAGGTTATTTCAATAATTAACCAAATAAACATTAAAGTTTGAATCTGTACTGTAAATAGAGAAAAATCAAACTCTTGTTCATTTGTTCAGGGTGTCCATAATTTATTGACCTGAAAAAGATATGTTTTAATTAATATAAAATAAGAGTAGTGAAAAAAGACTGAATTTTATTTAGTAGTTCAAAGAATTTTATATTAATACAATTCAGCATGAGCACCATTAGTTGCTTGGAGAATATCAAGTCTGTTCTCGATTTCCCTCCATATGTTATTATGCATTAGGCGGAGTCCCGGTAGCTTTTTCTGCGTTGATTTGATTTTTTAATTCTTTGATGCTGCAAATCTCTGCATCGCAAACTTGGTTGTTCAGATATCTTTAGAAAAAGAAGTTGTATTGTGTGATTAAAAAATTGAAATGATAAGTAAAGGGGGAATAAAAGAAAAAAAAGCATGAAGACTCGAGGTTTTGAAGCTTTTGTTTTATGGAATTTGGGAATTGATATGCAATTAATAGTAATAAAATAATTAAATCAAGCTTACGAAATATACTTTCCTCTGAAACTGACTTTTCATTATTTTTTTTAAAGCTTAAGTTCGTCTAAATAAAAGTAAAATGAAGTAGAAGTCTGTGGCAGGGATTCATAAATTTTGTTTTGTCTGGTTAACTAAATATTTATAAAGCTACACTTACCTTTAGTGTTGTGTGTAATTTTTACCTTCAGTTTAGCTTGCCGCGATTTAGTTCTTCCAATTTATAATCTTTAGCAAATATATTTTGTGAATGATTCATTAGATCCAATGCAGAAATGCAGTTCCTAAAGTACTTTAAATAACTGCGACTATTTACTTTAACTACGTTTTAGAATTATAGAAATAATTTTAAAATTCTGCTAGTAACAACATTATTCTTAAAATTCATATCTAAGGTTAGTTTTGAATTCAGATTTAGTTCTTGAATAGTTAGTAATTTTTTGGTTACTACTTTTAGATTATCATGAGTCGTTTATTTTCAATGATTTATTGTTCGTTTGTACAGTGGTGGCCGAAATTGTGGACACTTTTGGAAATTTTTATGTTTTTGAACTTTGTATGCTTATAGAAAATGTTACGTTTCGCAAAATGCAACCTTGTATATATCATTTTAAAGATAATTTATTACTGAATTCAATACAAAACACAAAATTCAATTATTTGCAATACAAAAAAAGTTATTGTACTTTAATATAAATAAAAAACACAGTTTATGAAGTGGTTTGTAATGTCTAGCTTTCCTGGCCAATCACTGTTCTTGTTCTGAGAACCATCCAAATGTTAGTAACTGCCAGTAGAAGCTGACATCATGTTTACACTTGAAACAATTAATTATTTTGCTTTGTTCTGTAGAAGGAGGACCTGTTTCTTATACACTGCAATTACAAGTAGGAATTTTTGTAAAAATTTTTAATATTTAGTCAAGAAGCAATGACTTCAAATAAAAGAGTAGATTGGACACTTAGAAAGATATGTAATATTGTGTTACGAGAAAGTGGTCTTTCTTATGCTGAAATTGCAAGACAGGTGGGTGGTTCAATGACTACATCTGGAGTCCGAAAGTTTTATTTACAATATCAGGAGACAAATTCAATAAAAAACAAAGAATGAAAAGGCCGAAAAAGGTGCACCACATCTATTGATGACAGAAGAATAAAAAGACTATGTCTCCAAGATAGAAAAATGTCATCAGCGGCCATCAGAAGTGATCTAAATGATGCTGGTGTTTCTGTCAGTTCAAGAACAATCAAGAGAAGATTAACAAATGTTGGACTGAGAGGTAGAATTCCACGAAAAAAGCCTTATCTTAAATTTCAGCAACGAAAAAAAGACTACAGTGGGCAAAGGAACACATTAATTGGACAGATGATCAGTGGTCACAAGTTATATGGAGTGATGAAACTAAGATATCGTTATTCGGTAGTGATGGGCGAAAATTTGTAAGACGTAGAATAGGAGAAGAGCTACATCCTGACTGCACTCAAGCAACTGTGAAGAACCCAGTTAGTGTTATGATTTGGTCATGCATGTCAGCAGATGGTATTGGCGCCTTCATGTCATCGATGGGACACTGAATGCCAGAAAAATACATTGACACTATCTAGAACCAAAACTTCTACCTTCCATCAGAGATCTCTTTCCCAACAATGCTTCGTTTATTTTTTTCAGCAGGATTCTGCTCCTGACACACGGCCAAAATATCGAAAGAGTGGTTTCGTACAAAAGAGCATTAATTGTTGTCATGGCTAGGAAACAGTCCTGACCTCAATCCTATCGAAAATTGTGGCACCGTTTGAAAACTCTTGTCCGAATGAGGCGCCCATCAAATAAAGGGAACTAATTGAGGCTATAATTGTTTCCTGGTATCATGTAATAACGAAGAAGAGCTTAATCTTGTCAGCTCAATGAAACGTCGATGTGAAGCTGTAATCAAAAATAAAGGGTACCCTACTAAGTACTGATAACTCACTGAAATCATCACTATCTAATGTATATCGATAACTATTATCGTTTAACTTTTTTTTGTATTGCAAATAATGAATTTTGTGTTTTGTATTGAATTCAGTAAATAAATTCTCTTTAAAATGATATATACAAGTTTGCATTTTGTGAAACGTAACGTTTTCTATAAGCATACAAAGTTCAAAAACATAAAAATTTCTAAAAATGTCCACAATTTTGGCCACCACTGTACCATTTTATTGACTCTTCTCGTACTTATGCACCTGCCAAGCATTTTGGCGTGTGGAAAGAGAAGCCAAACACACGCCTAGATGTCAAACCAACCCGAGACCAACGACAAAGCCATCTGGGGACCAGACCATTTCTACATGTGTTTGTTCTTAATTCCCCCCTCCCCCAATGGTGGGCCTTGGTATGGAGGTAAGAAAGGACTACCTCCATGCCGGACTTACTTCCTACCTCCGTGGGCCTCGGTGCGTCCAACTGTCCACAGACGTTGCCCACTACTAAGGCCCGAAGCGGTGGTCATTTTATTATGGAGCCACTTAATAGGTGGGCTATCGAGGAAACATTCCTTCTATATACTATGAAGTAACAAAACAGGACAATCATTTTAGTAGATGTCGCAAAATTTTCAGAATGCGCCAGTTTCTGGCAGTCATGCATCTAAGAATTTTTCAGTATTAACAGGCAACTTTGCAGTTTTTGTAATCGTTCGTTTTGTTGTATTCCAAATTCCAACAGTATTTATAGACAAGTCGTCATACTTTTTTTATTTCGAATTCCGTTAAAACATGTTCTTGCAGCCTTTAACTGCAATGCAAGAAATTACAGTAACATTTTCCCAGTAATACAATGTTTTGCGGTGCAATCGCTAAAAGAAAACAACTGTTTCGAATTTATTCATAAAATAATAGTCATGAAATTTTGATCAAAACAAAAGAAAATTAAAAAGAAATTACGGATGCAATAATACGTATGTATGTAATAACAAGTTTTTGACCTGTAAATTATCGTTCTTATTTCTTGCACAAAAATTCACCAATCAACGCCAAGGTTGTTGGCGCGCTGATGTGTGAATTAATTGCATACTGTGAAAAATGTTCCTATTTTATTTTTATACTAGTGGACAAGCCCGCCAGATAAGCAAGCTGCATTCAAAGCGAAATTTATAAGTTCTATGTATACCTGAAAAGAAAATGTATAAAAATAATTTGTTATAAATAAAATCAGTTCTATATATTTTAATAATAATAAACAGGCCGAGTGATTCCATAACAAAATTTTACTCTGTTTAGAAAAGACGGAAGGCAAGTTTAAAATTCCACCTCGTATGCTCTTCGACGCAGTACTCCGAACAGCAATCAAGTTCAGCCAAAAACGTAGCTTGCAGGGTGTGAAAATTAGAGTTTTCAGAGTTTTTAATTATTATGTCGGCTAATTAAAATCATACGAAGATGAGAATAGTCGAAATGGCTTCCCACGAATTTTTGGAATCTGGAACTTCTCTTGAAACTCAATTCCCTGCCATTCCGTAGGAAAGGATGTTAAAAACAAACAAACAGACAAACGCACACTTTTAATAGTATAGATTTTTCAAGTATGTTATTTTAATAAGTTCTTGTTAACTGATGTAATTTTTCAAAAAAGGTTTCATTAATTTTAAAACTTTAATGCTGTAGATATGTCAACAAAAAAAAGAAAGAAAAAATGTTCTTCTGAAACTAAAAATGTGAGAGATTCATCTTTAAAGAACGAAGCTGTGGAAGCCTCTGGTAAGTATCCAAAACCATATATTGTATACACAATTCAAAGATTTTTATTGAGAAAAGAAAGGTAAAAGCTATTAAAAAAGCTGCTAAGCAAAATAAATTAACTTAATATTTAATGAAAATTCACTAATCAAAAATATGATGTGAATTGGTTAATAATATTATGGTGCCTGTAACTTCAGAGTTATGTTCATCCTAGGAAACATTGCCACAAGCCTTATATTAGAATTTTTTACGTATTGAAAATAATACATATTTTTGCAGTAAATATTGTTATTACCTATTTTATACATAGATGATTTTAGTGCAATTATATGTGAAATTGTTGTATTTTTCTGCGTAATGTAAGGTGAAAAATCTAGAGAGATAAGCTACGCTGGAATAGTAAGAACACAGGGGCAAGTCCATTAAACATTGAATAAATGGGGATCTTGGTAATTTGGCGCGATATAGCCAAGCTGGCAACGGTTTGGGCAATTTATTTTGTCGCCAAATTTGGTAATTTTGATAGTTTCGAGAAGCAGAAGGTACTAGGAATATCTCGGCGGCCGAATGAAAATTATATAACGCCAGAAAGACAGCATCTGCTGTCAGTTGTTTTGTTGCGAATTGTTGTGGTGTTTTTTTTTTTTTTTTTTTTTTTTTTTTTTTTTTTTTTTTTTTTTTTTTCGAAAAAGTTTTATTAATTAGTTTGCTCTTTAGATGCGCTTTGCATTGCGTTGTGTTTAATGATGTTAATAGTTTGTCTGGTAACTAGTAATTGTAATCTGTGATACTGTAAAAATCCTGTACGAGAATTTCTGTGATAACTTCTAGAAATCTGAATTTTTTTTTCTTTTGATATAAGTAAATTTTATTAACCTTTCGCAGGACCTGTGTGCATTCAGTCTATTACGAACCCATCAGCACGCAATTTGGTGTCAGGAGTGGGGTTGAATCCCGGTGGCAAGCGCGATGAATGAGCTACTAAGACAGCTCGAGAATGCCTTTGCTGCATTCCAAGAAAAGATGGAATGGGCAGTCAACTCCGTTAAAGAGGGGATGAAAACTCTTCGAGAAAAGATGGCAAAATGCATTAAAGGAGAGATGAAAGATGGAAAACTGTTCAAGAAAAGAGGGAAACTGGTCAAGAATCCGTTAAGGAAGAGATGGAAGCTATTCCAGAGGACTGAAGCAAGTCAAAAGGAAATGAAAAGAGAAATTACCTACATAATAGAAAACAAATTTGAGGCTATGGAAGACAAAGTAAATGTTGTTTCTGTCAAAGAACAAATATGAGAGATAGTTTCTGTTGTGGAGTAACGAATCGAAGGAATAGTCTCTGCCATTGAGCAACAAATTAATGATAAGATTTCTGCTAATGTCTGTAAAGAAGTTGACATCTTAAAGAAGCGCATAGCGTCAGTAGAAAGCAAATATGATGGTTTTAAATTTTTACCCATGTTTTCACAGCCCTCTTTAAAGCTATTCATCCACGTACGATGGTAATACTTCCTGATCGATGCATAAGACACAATTTTCTATAGTGGCGGACGCGAATGGATGCGATTCCCGAGCTAAAGCCTGTCAATTCACCTGAGAGCATACGCAGAGGATATTTTTCAAATTCTTCCTGAAAACCAAAGGCTAGACTTCGAAGATCTACCTGTGGCACTAAAGCTGCGCTTTTGGGAGAAGTGTCTAAAAGACTAAGGCAGGCTTTAGTTAAAATCTCGTACACAGAAGCCCACGGAAACACTCCAGGAGCTTACCACGGCTGTTGAAAGGCTGTGTCATCTCTCCCTTTCAGAGTGCCAGACAGAAACAAGGGAAATCCTTTCCCTACAGTATTTCAACGATGGCATCCGGATCCCAGAGTACAGAAAGCTCTGCGAATGGCGGATATCAAGAATTTAAATAGCGCTCTAGTGTATGCCACGAAATTTGAGGCAGCCCAGCAAGTAAAGATGTAGAGACCGTGACCGCCACTCAATCAGAGCTGCTCAAGCCACGAACCAGTAGATCAAGTGACTGCTCGTCTAGACGATTTAACCAGACAAATCAACGCCTTGAGAGAGAATAGCAGTGACAAGAAACCTAAAGCGCTGGAACTGTGGTGCTGAAGACCACGTACGAAGAAAGTGCAGAACAGCCCAAGGCACGTCAGTTAACATCGCTCCCAGGTCATCTCGCGGAGCGGAGGCGCCAGATGATGAGGATCCCCAATTCAAAGCGCTTCAGTTTTCTGCAGTGAGTGGCGCCAATAATGAACTCTTTATCATGATGCATATTAATGGACTTCCTTGCAACATGACCATAGGTACAGGCGTGAATGTTGTGATCATTCGAAAATATTTGCTCAACAACTGGAAGATAAATTCATCTGGACGACACCTTCCGTTGCCCTCCAGACTTCATGTTTGGAAGTGGCGCCTTACACGGCATATCTCGCAGGTATCCTTGCATGCACAGACTGGACGTTCTAAAGAAGTACATTTTTCCTTGAACTTCAAAAATAACAAATTGCATTCTGCCTCTGAGGACACAACCGTATTCGCAATTAATGATGAAGAGTTAAATATGTCCGTCAAATCATAGCTCAAGACGATATCGCAGTATCAGCAAGAATATAATTTTTACTTCCTGGATGTATAGCCGAAAACAGAAATTTCCGATACGGTGTATTGGAATATCCCAAGAAATCTAACATCGCGTGTGGAGTACTAGTAGCCTTGTCACTCATCGACTTATCGAACATAGTTGTTCCGGTGAGAGTTGCCAACGTCAGTGATAAAGCGAATATCATCAGGAAAGGTGAAGTGGTTGCATTATGTTCTTCAGCGAACCCCGTTAAACGAAATAGTAACCCTCCAGAATCTGTGTCTTCAAAAACAGAAAACATTAGATCAGAGTTATTGCAGAATGCACAATTAAGCGATGAAGAAAGGACTGCTGCCGAACCTGTCATTTAAGAATTTCAAGATGTTTACTCCCACTCATCCTCTGACGTGGCTGAAACCAGTTTGACACAGCATAGAATCGATACCAGGGATCATACACCAATCAAGCGATGTCTAAGATGTCTACCGTTTCCTAAACAGGAAGAGGTAGGGAAACATCTGAAGGACATGGAAGAAAGCGATGTCATCGATCCTTCAGCAAGTCCATGGGCATCTCCCATCGGTTTTGCTTTCACTATCGCCAGTTGAAGGACATCACGAAGAAAGATAGCTATCTTTAGCATTGGCGACATTCTGGACGCTCTTCCTGAAAGCAAAAGGTTTTCGACGCTTGATTGAAAGAGTGGATATTGGCAAGTAGTTATACACCCTGATGACGGAGAGAAGAACGCTTTTACTACCTGACAAAGGCTTTGGGAACTCAGGGTCATTACGTATGAAACGCACTGGCAAAATTCGAAAGCCTCATGGAGACTGTGTTGAGAGGTCTTTCCTGCGAAGCCTGTCTGATATACCTCTCTAGGAACGGTTTGAAGTGATGCACAGTTTTGCACGAGAGCGAGTCAACCTGGCGACGGGGAATATAAAGACCCGTAACGACACGAGTACTACAGGACATAGATTCAAAGATGTAGACAAGGTATGGTTGTGGAATCAAATTCGGCGGAAAGGACTCTCCCCTAAACTACAGTCATCTTGGGATGGTCCTTAGATAGTCCTAAACAGGGTGAACAACGTCGTAGTTCGGATCCGTGAGTCGTGAAATTCTAATCCTAAAGTCGTTCATTACGACAGGTTAGCTCTTTACTATGGCTACAGTACGTTTTCCGCATAGTGTATATAATGCAAATAGTATGCTAAGACCATGGTCCTATTTGCATATGAATTTGTTAATTTATGCATTTGTTTATTCGTTTAGCATTTTATTTGTTTTATATCATTTATTGAATTATTGTTTAAGTATTACATCAATTCTTCTTAGTTGTAAAGATGGCTGGTCCAGGGATTGTACTGCTAGGGACGTGCAATCCTTGGGAAGGGAGCAATTACGAATTGCTACGAATTTTGTACGCAGCTAGAGGATTTTATTGCAGTTATATGTGAAATTGTTCTATTTTTCTGCGTAATGTAACATGAAAAATCTAGGGAGTTAAGCTATGACGGAAAAGTAAGAATATAAGGGCAAGTCCATTTAACATTGAGTAATTGTGCATCTCGATAATTTGGCGAGAAGCTGGCAACGTTTTTAGCTGGTTATTTTGTCGCCAAATTTGACGATATATCGCCAAAAGTCGGCGAACGTGTCGACATTATGGTCTGGTCCCTGTATCAACGTAATAGGTACTGTAATTGTAAATAATAAATGTAATTTATCTCTATATTAGCTGCAACCGTAACTCTTATATTGCTATATATATATATTATATATTATACTCTCGACCCTTATATTGCCTTCCACTTATTTTGAGAAGCAGAAGATACTATAAATATCTCGGTGGGTGGGTGAAAACTATATAAGGTCGGAGAGAGAGCATTTGCTTTCAGTTGTTTTGTTATTTTGGGTTGCACGTTGTTGTTGCGAGTTGTTAGTTCAGTATGAGATTGGAATTCTAAGATATTTCCGGATTAGCTTTCTCTTTAGATGAACTTTGTATTGCGTTGTGTTTAACATTCTTAGTAGTTTGAAGTGTATTCATTGACTGTACTCTGTGATGCTTTGAACACATGCACGAGAATTTCTGTAAATAATAAATTTTAAAATAAATTTTATTAACCTATCATCGGATCTGTGTGCATTCAGTCTATTTCGAAGCCGTATGCACGCAGTAATACACTAGTTATCATAAATTAAGGAAAAATCACGATTACTGAAAATATTACATGTAAAATTTTATGAAACTTACCCATGATATACAACACATAGTAAGGTATCAAATAACATAAAAAGAAATTACCAGACAATTACGGTAGTATAGAAATTAGCGCATGTATAAAATGAACAAATCGAAGGTGTCAGTTTGCTATAGGAAAAGTACCTTCAATATGGAATATGATCGCCTCTAG